TTAGAACTTAGAGGGCGGGGATAGAACTTAGAACTTAGACGGCAGGGGAGAGAACTTAGAACTTAGAGGGCGGGGATATTACTTAGAACTTAGAGGGCGGGGCTGGAACTTAGAACTTAGAAATTAGAGCGCAGGGGATAGAACTTAGAACTTAGAGGGCAGGGATAGAACTTAGAACATAGAACTTAGAGCGCAGGGGATAGAACTTAAAACTTAGAACTTAGAGCGCAGGGGATAGAACTTAGAACTTAGATGGCGGGGATAGAACTTAGAACTTAGAACTTAGAGCGCAGGGGATAGAACGTAGAACTTCGTGGGCGGGGATAGAACTTAGAACTTAGAACTTAGAGTGCAGGGGACAGAACTTAGAACTCAGAGGGCGGGGATAGAACTTAGAATTTAGAGGGCGGGGATAGAACTTAGAACTTAGAAAGCAGGGGAGAGAACTTAGAACTTAGAGGGCCGGGATATTACTTAGAAATTAGAGGGCGGGGATAGAACTTAGGACTTAGAGGGCTAGCACAGAGGTTCTAGAGAACTAGAGGGATCGCACAGGCAAAGTCCGATTTGTTTGTCACGCATCAGAAGCCCTTCCAGCTTCCTCAGGTCCTCTCCAATGTCCGGGCAAGGGAAAGCACGGCCACGCCACAAAACCAGACGTACAGTCCTCTGCCTTTGGAGCACCTCTCAGCAAGCATTCCTGCTGCTTCCTTTGGCCTTTGAGGCTTATCGCTCAAGCCCTCACCGTTTCTTTTTGCTTTCCTTCTTGGCTTTCTTGCTTAGCTGTACAGCACTTGCCTTTGGTTTCTTCACCGTCTCCCAAGTCTTAGACTCCAAGCCGTCCCAGTCCTACAGGAATCAATTCACAAACAGTCAGGAAACTTTCTGACAATTGCCCCACAGCTCACTTTGGGAGCTCAAGTCACCTGACTGGGCAGGATTGTGTGCCAGTGCTGCAAATTGCCTTCCTGACATCAGGGCATAACAGAAACTCCACCTCTGTCTTCTTCCCAAAAATCCCACGTAACCTACAGTCTACAGGCCTTTCCTGCAAGGCAGTCCCTGCACAGGGGGACGCCCTGCCTGGCGCTCACAGCAGCAGCAGCACGATAAGATGAGCTTGCACCTCCAGGCTCCTTGCGTGCCACCAGGAACAGCACGCACACCAAACGAAGCACAGAACAAACTGCCGCACTCTCAGCAATGCCGGGGCGCGCTACCGTAGGCAACGGCTCCAGTTTGTTCGCTCCCAGCCCATTTCCTCAGCATTTCTATCAACCTCTAGCAAACAGAGCGCTACTTACTGTCTCTGGGCACTTGGGAACTGGCAGGGTTATGGCCCACACGCACAGAAGCTGGAAAACGGCTCCAAAGTAGAGGCCGTAGCGCAGCACGTTCTCCATCAGCGTGGGCTCGGGGGTCTCAGGGGGCGAGAAATGCAGCTCAGCGGCCATAGCGCAGACAGCCTGCTGCTCTGCTGCTCTCCAGGAGGCTGCTTTCTACAAGGGGGAAAACCAGAGCCATCATTCCATTCGTGCGCCCCGATGGTGTGACCTCCGGCTAGCAAAAACTCCCAGCCTGACTCAGAGACGTGCTGTCAAGATATCCTTGGTCTTCTGACCCAACCACAAGGAGGGACGCCAAACTTGTATTTCAGCAAGAGCTGAACAGGCAAGAATCAACTTCTCCCTGAGCTTGATCGCACATGCATGACATCTCATGAACACTAACAACAATATTATTCATACCAGCAGTTGCACATTTGCATCTACCTGGGTACGTACGTGTTCACGGTCTTGCTGCTGCTGCTGCTGTGCCGTACGGCACCAAGCACATCAATAAAGCACGCAGAAAGCTGACCACAGGGGGATGAGCTGGGCACACGCCTAAGCACTGCTTACTGCAAAGGAAGGCACACCTACCTGGCAACGGCCACGCAGGATGCTCGAGACACAGTCACACACTGTTCCCCTGAGGCCCAACGCAATGTCGCAGCCACTCACACTCTGCTCCTCGACGGTCTGCAACACAAAAGTCACAAGCTGGAAATTCAATTAATCCAAGCTGCCATCGGGCCTCCGTGCTCACGGCACTCGCACTCATGTCTTCGGACATCAGTTAGGCGTGTGCTTACCGAGTGAGCGCTGCTCACTGCCACTTGACACGAGCAATCTACCCCTAACTGTCAAGTATGAACAGGAACCTATGCCTAACACTAAAACACTACAAGTAACCTATGCCTAACTCTAAAATACAAACAATAATCTACTCCTAACACTAAACACTAGAATCAACAACAAAAACAACTAAAATACAACTCCTGCAGCATTTAAATGGGAAGAGGAGAACTTGGCTCCCCAGGAGGCTCGGAGGAGGAGCTGATGGAAAATAATGCCACCCAGCTAATGCTGGGGGCGGGGGCCGCGCAGCGGGTAGGGAGCCGAGAGCCTGGACTAGCGGCGGTGGAGCTGTGATGGTGCCAATGCGGGGCCTGGCACAGTGGTGTGGTGCCAGGCCAGCTGTGCCGCAGGGGGATCCACCTCCATGGGCTCATCCGGAGGTGGATCCACCTCCATGCGCTCCACGGAGGTGGTCACAGCGCTGGTCCAGGCGCGATGCAAAAGCACTCTCTGCCCCCTCCTCCGCTTGATCTTAAAGGCGGCCCCCCTCCTCCTCTTCGCTTCTGGGAAGCCAAGCTCCCTCTTCCCATTTAAAAAAGGGCAAATTTCGCCCCTTGCTCTCTTCACTCCTGGCATGGCTGCCAGAGCTCACAGAGCGAGTGCGTTGGCCAGGGCAGCAGTGACCAAGGTGACGGCTGTGATGCGGCGAAGGTTCTAAAATGGCAGCCGCACTGCTGGCAATGGCGTTCCACATAGCATGAGGAGGGGGCTGTAGGACAGGGCACGGGACGGCAGCTAAAAGGCGCTCCCTGAGCCCAGCGGGCAGCACTTCTCTCCGGCAAGCAAGAGGCCACAGAGGAGCCGGCCCCGAGAAAAGGGCGCTCGGCCTCCTTCATCCTCTCCCTTCTTCCACACGGGAATCTGTAGGGGCTGGCACACGCAGCACACAGCGCCATGTTCAAGGGCCTCCCGAGCCCAGCACCAACAACAGGCTCCAAAGCGCACCTCACCACGCCTGCCTCCTGGCACACACAAGCTCCGCTTTCCACGTTAGCATCCAGCTCCTCTTTTTGCGCCTCACGGCTGGGTATTGAACCATTCCCTACAATAAATAGGGCCAGCAGCATTTTCACTTCAATCTGCGGTTCTTCCCTTAAATATGGCTTTTTCTGCCAGAAATCCCTGGTTTTCCCCATAAATCTGGGATTTTCTCACAGAAATCCCAGATTTTCCCAACCAATGTGGGTTTTTTCCCATTAAATATGGATTTTTCTCACACAAAATCCCTGTTTTTCACGTTAAATCTGGGGGTTTTTCCCATTAAATATGACTTTTTCTGCCAGAAATCCATGGTTTTCCCTTCAATCTGAGATTTTTTCACAGAAATCCTTGTTTTTCCCATTAAATCTGGGGTATTTCCCCTTAAATATGGCTCTTTCTGCCAGAAATCCCTGTTTTTCCCATTAATCTGGGGTTTTTCCCCATAAATGTGGCTTTTTCTCCCAAAAATCCCTGTTTTCACATTAAATCTGGGGTTTTTCGCCTTAAATATGGCTTTTTCTCCTTGAAATCCCTGTTTTTCCTAATAAATCTGGCATTTTTACCATTACGTATGGCTTTTTCTCACAGAAATCCCTGTTTTAACATTACGTATGGCTTTTCTCACAGAAATCCCTGTTTTTCCCCTTAAATCTGGGGTTTTTCCCCTTAAATACGGCTTTTTCTGCCAGAAATCCCTACTTTTCCACCTAAAAATGGCTCTTTCTGCCAGAAATCCCTGGTTTTCCCTTCTATCTGGGTTTCTTCCCTTAAATATGGCTTTTTCTCCTAGAAATCCCTGGTTTTCCCATCAAATCTGGTGTTTTTAACCTTAAATATGGCTGTTTCTCCCAAAAATCCCTGTTTTATTCCTAAAATCTGGGGTATTTCCCCTTAAATATGGCTCTTTCTGCCAGAAATCCCTGCTTTTCCCTTCAATCTGGGGTTCTTCCCCTTAAATGTGGATTTTTCTCCCAAAAAATCCATGTTTTTCACATTAAATCTGGGGTATTTCCCCTTAAATATGGCTTTTTCTCATAGAAATCCCTATTTTTCTTATTAAATCGGGGGTTTTTGCCATTAAATATGGCTTTTTCTCACAGAAATCCCTGTTTTTCCCCTAAAATCTGGGGTTTTTTCACCATAAATGTGGCTTTTTCTTCCAGAAATCCCTACTTTTCCTAATAAAAAGGGCTGTTTCTGTGAGAAATCCCTACTTTCCCCTTCAATATGGGTTTCTTCCCCTAAAATATGGCTTTTTCTCCTAGAAATCCCTGCTTTTCCCTTAAATCTGGGCTATTTCCCCTTAAATATGGCTGTTTCTGCCAGAAATCCCTGGTTTTCCCATCAAATCTGGGGCTTTTCCCCTCAAATATGGCTTTTTCTCCCAAAAAACCCTGTTGTTCCCCTTAAATCCGGGCTCTTCTCACAAAAATCCCTGTTTTTCCCCAGAAATCTGGAGGTTTTGCCCTTAAATAGGGCTTCTTCTGCCAGAAATCCCTGGTTTAACCATTAAATCTGGGGGTTTTCCCCTTAAATCTGGGCTTTTCGCACACAAATACCTGCTTTGCCTCGTAAATCTGGGGTTTTCTCCCAAAAATCCCTGTTTTTCCCATTAAATACGGCTTTTTCTCACAGAAATCCCTGTTTTCCCCATTAAATCTGGGGTTTTTCCCCTTAAATGTGGCTTTTTCTGCCTGAAATCCCTGGTTTCCCCTTAAATCTGGGATTTTCTCACAGAAATCCCCGTTTTTCCCAATAAATCTTGGTTTTTTTTCCTTAAATATGGCTCTTTCTGCCAGAAATCCCTGATTTTCATCTTAAATCTGGGGTTCTTCCCCATAAATGTGGCTTTTTCTCCCAAAAATCCCTGTTTTTCACATTAAATCTGGGGTTTTTAACCTTAAATATGGCTTTTTCTCCTTGAAATCCCTGTTTTTCCCATCGAATTTTTTGTCTTGAGAGACAGAGGTCACAAATCACAGCAAATGTAGGGGATTTTACAGGCTTAGCCTTCTTGCCGTTTGCTGTAGTATGTTTACTTAGCAATCTGAGCATGTATGCAGTTTACAGATGAAAATGCTATTTTTATTCATAATGAAGAGGCATAAAAGAATTCTGAGAACCTTGATCTTGCAGAAGTAAACTCACTAGACTGAAACACTTAAAAAGCCTAGTTGGGGAAGTTTTAAAAATTACGTAAGCAACAAGGAAGTTCTTGACTACCTGATCAGATTGAATCAGGGTGGCAATAGATCTCATCAGCTCAGTGTGAAGACGAGGTAGTAGTACTGTCTGGATACCAGAGGAAGGAAAGGACTGCGTGGAAAAGTTTGCACTTGAATAAATAAATGGGAAAAGAAACAAAAAAAAAGGAGGAGGAAATGACCAAACCTGAGAATAAGGCAGAGAGAGGAGTGAATACAGCTGAGATTCATCCTAGCAAGAAACTTATGAATGGATAGATGAGTCTGGGGAGATGAAGTTAGCTACGCCACCAAACGTGCAGATAGAGATGGCAAATGATACAGAAAACAGAATGAAATGAAAGTAAAACTTTGAGTTCTAAAATGTCCCCACATAATCACGGCCAAGCTTTCTTTGAGCAAACCGAAAATCATGCTTTCTTTCTTGTTAACCTAGTCAGAGGTCAATGTTCATAGTCCAGAATAATGGCTGAAGCCAAAATGGATGACCAAGGTAAAATCAAGGATCTGTAAACAAGGGTAGGAATATCAGATGAAAGCCAGAGATGTAGTAGAAAGGCAGGCAGGCAGTAGAAAGGCAGGCAGCCATCTCCCATCTCTCTTTTCCAAAGGTATTTTCTGCATCCAAGACAAAGACTTGTTATAAAAGCCTGTTAGAATCCTAGCAGTTGATCATTGTGGAGTTAGCCTATTTTATTAAGGTTGATTTCATAGCTTTTTGCTAGGTTTCAGTGCCTGAACTAAGTGATCTTCATTAGTTTGCAGATACTATGCCTTGTACCTAAGTGCATGTATCTGGAAGTACCCCAGTAGATATCTAAGGTACACGAGCACCAAGAATTTTTCCACAATGAATGACTCTATTGTCACACCACCAGCATCGGCCTCTGATATTGTGGACGAATATAATCAAATAGTAGACGTTACTGTTGAAGCAGACCTCATACATACACATTGAATCAGCTGTACAATTTTCTCTTCAGAGGCCAAATTTGCTTAGGCAATCAACACCATCAGTAAGAACATCTATTGTATAATGCACCAAGATCTACATGACTTCCTAGTGACCGAGGTGCTGAGACTGTAACTTGTCAACTTAATCAATGTATATTGATTTTATATTGTTTTTGCCACAGTGTATTTGGTGTGTTGATTTTATGGCCACCAGACACTCACTCAGCCTCTCTCTCACTCCCCCTCCACAGAAAGCCAGAGAGAGAGCGGAATGCCCATGGGAATATTACCTCAGAAGTAAAACGAATTTAGCTTAGGGAAAATAAATTAAATTTAAAAAATAAAATAAAAATAAAAAAATAAATATATAAATAAATAAAATTTCGTTTATTCATCCCATTCCCCTGCTCAGCACGTCTTCCTCACCCCTCCATTTCTGACTCCTTCATCTGTTGCAGAGTAGATCCTCTCCGCTTTCCCTTCCTCCTCACACCAGACAGTGGAATGATGATGTTGATTGGCTTTTTACTGTGTAGCTCACTGTGCAGATGCTAGGTGGGAGCCTGCTCAGTATCTTTCTTTGTATTCAATTTGCAGTGTCATTAGGGGACATACAGCGCCATGTATCTGTAACCTTTCTCAGCCACCAGCCATTTTTTTTCTTCATGAATTTTCAGTTATTCTCAACGTATTTGGAGCAC